TCTAACTCAAAATGTTCAAACCTTGTACTAAATTTGTGAATTTCAACATAAATTCAGTTTGTCCATTGGGCACAGGTTACGATATTTGTAGCTAACCACTGAATTAGTGTCACACTTAATAGTTATATAGCTTGTGAAAAGTCAATATGATTACTGTAAAATAAAAACTAGTTTACAATGGTGTATTTGTCTTTCAGCTGTAATACTGATTACGTGGGAAATAAACAGATTTAAAGTTAAACACAGTTTACCCGTCTGAGTGGACAGTAGTAGTCAAAACAGTTTCCACACTATAGAGTTGTACACCAGTTATTAATTAAAAAACAATTATAGCTGATAGAATATTAAATTTTTGCAAGAAAATAATCTCACGTCAATAGCCTTACGGAATTCTGTATGTTTTAATAATTGTTGCTTTGTTGACAAAGGGATGCACTGTGCTACTGTCTAAGCTCCTATTAAACATTCACAAATACAGATGTGGGTATTCACTTGTAAGGTTTAATTACTCCATCACTGAACTCTTTCTAACAGTAAGATTTTTTTTTTTTTAAATGTGTACGCCTGTTCAAACGTAAATTGCTACATTCAGTATCTTGTAAGCATATGATGAAAGTTAAGGCGATTCAGACGTTGAGTCAAATCGTAAAGTGTGGATTTACTTAAAGTACATGTTTCTGGAGCCACTTTACTTCATAGTTCGTGGATGAGTAGAGTAATAAACACTGTCTAGCCTCTTTTGATGATCGATTCCCGATCCTTTTTTAATGCGTGCTTTGTTTTAAGTTCTTTGTACAGTGCAATATCTCGTTCTTTGTATCTGCAGCTGGGTTGTAACAAAAATGTTTATTCTTTCGTGTCAACTACATGAGCGCTCACATTGCTACATAGAAGCTCGCATGCTGACATAAAGGGTACTGAATTTGCTTTTCATCATTGACAGATAAACTTGTGGTAGGATAGCTTTCTTTGAGCATTTGACTGAGTGTATGTGTCAGCATGGGTCTGTCTCTCTGTCTGTCTGTGCATGTGTCTTTGCAACATACCCGTATGAATAGCACGAGTAGAAGCGACAGGATGCTGTCCCGAGTTCATCACTTCTTCACCCAGCAAAAAGGAAAAGAGTAAATACACTTCTTACTGCAATACATGAATCAATTGTTTGAATTACCGTTCTTTCCCCATCCAGTCCAAGTAACGAGTGTATTTACTTTAAGTATTTCACAACACGACTCTTATTCGGTGGTTCAGATGATAAGGACAGAGCGGCATGTACCATGTAACATGTTACAGCTTTTCTAGAAGGGCGATATGACGAAGAAGCATGACCAAGATTTTCAATGATTCTGAAACGTCTCGATGGCAAAGAGTTACTATAAACAATATCCAGATAAGTACCAAACTTCCAGGGAAGATATCAAGAAACAGATGAGTAACATCAAAGCTCCCATAACGTCAAAGCTCCCATAACAGCAACGCTCTCATAACATCAAAGCTCTTTTAACATCAAAGCTCTCATAACATCAAAGCGCTCATAACATCAACGCCCCCAAAAACATCAACGCTCCCATAACATCAGAGCTATCATAACATCAACGCTCCCATAACATCAACGCTCCCGTAACATCAAAGCTTCCATAACACCAACTCTCTCATAACATCAAAGCTCTCATAACATCAAAGCTCTCATAACATCAACGCTCCGATAACATTACAACATTAAAGCTCCCATAACATCAAATCTCTCAAAATATCAAAGCTCCCATAACATCAAAGCTATCATAACATCAACGCTCATATATCATCACGCTCCCATAAGATCAAAGCTCTCATTGCATCAAAACACCCATAACATTAAAGCTCTCAAAGTTATAAAGGGGGTATACAGAATTATGTACAGGCAGCAAGATCAATTTTGTTGCAAGAAGTTGTATTTATGTTACAGCCCTGTAATTCGCCGCAGTTGGATACCTTTCAAGAACGCGTCACAAAGTACAAACTTCATAGCTCCAACGACAAAACCGTGAGAGCTTCAAGAAAAACACACAAAATCTTTCAAAATTTGGAAAGTGAACCAGCGAGCTTCAGAATGTAAGGCAGAAAGCTTACCTGTATCAGAATTAGTGTTCTCTGTTTAAGACCACAAATTATATATTTTAGTAAGGTTTGCCCGGCTCTCTAGCGGAATTGGCTAAACCGGATTTCGCGGAGACCGGGTGACGTACTCCTTGTGGTCCGGGTTCAATCCCGGGGGTAGGCAGGAAAGCCACATTTTCTCCCAGATTGACGGTATTTACAATGGAATCAAGGCCGAAAGGTTGCGATATCCATAATACCGAGCCTAAGGGTTAACAACTCATGACTTCTGGATACTAAAACAACAACAGTAAGGTTTAGCTGCCAGTAGTTTGATTAGTTAAGCGGTATTGAAATAGTAGGAAATATTACACATTATTATTTAGCATTAAAGGAATGTATTACTGGTAAGGTCGATGATACAAATACCAATGATCTGAACTTAAAATTCAAATAATGTTTACCTTAACAAACATTTAGTCATGATATGCATTCCTTTTTAATATATGCCAGCAATTACATTCATGATTCATTTTCCATTTAAACTGTAATGAGGAAAAAATATGGTAATAGCGAAGACGCGTCTTTGTCAGTTAGGTGTATGTTTTCCACTGAAAATCAGACAGAATGCATTTCTGTATTTGCTACTCATGTGGTGGTAGATAAATATGTTCATAGATGAGTTGATACCTTCCATTAAATACAGAAACCCGCTAATTGCTAACGACAAAGCGACATATTCTCCGTTTAGTGATAATGCTGGCAGGAAAACAATTGCAAGCATAATTACTGTAGTTGGAACAAAGCAAACAATGTACAGCGTGGAAATTGTCGCGACCATTTTAGCAATTTTCTGATTTCGTCTGTACATTTTGATAGCCTGTTCGGCATTAATTGCTGTTTTTGTCCACTTCCATTGTCGAACTAGTTGGATTACCAGAATTAGTGTACATGTGGCGATGATTAAAAAAGTAGTTAAAGGGATCAAAAAGTTGTTAATCAGAAAACTAATTTTCTCAACTTGGACATGATCTTCTCTTGCAATAAGTCCAAAAATTGTCTTGTTTTTCGTAGGTGACACCTTCCACCCTAGGCTGTTCACAACAAACACAGGTGCGCCGCTGAATGTAAAGGTGATAAAGATCACAACAGTGATTACAGCTGCTCTCTTTGGAGACATTATGTTCTTCACCTGAAAGTGTAAAAAATATATTTATTGCTATGCATTGTTAAAACTAGCTTCGGAATATATCTAATGTTATCAAAGGTAATATTACGCAATCTAAACGTTTACAGTTTGTCCACTTAAACTGAAGACAAACACCAACCGTGGCTGCAGCGAGTCGCAGCTGAATTTGAAAGCAAGCCTCTTATCGACTGCGCTAACGCATAGATATAATCAAGTCCAACAACCTGTTTCTCTGTCGTCAATTTTCTTCTTAGGATTTTTCTTGATCACCCTTGTCTCCTCAGTCCATGTGTGCTTAGTCCCAGTGCATCTTTACTAAATGTGTGTTTATTTCTCACGCTAACGTGGCCAGTATATCTCCATCTCTGCTGCCCTTGAAGTTCAAATATCAGGGCTTGTAAATACGATTCATTTATTTCCACTCCAATAGTTTCTTTAATGTGTCCCATTAATTCATTATTCTTACCAGGTATTTAAATTAAACTACATGTAACGTTTGTGTCATATCATTAGTGGTTCTCTTACTTCATGTAGCAGAACGTGACAAAGAAAAAAATAATAAGAATTCTAGATGCGATTTGAACACTAGACGTTTCAAATATCCATGTGCTTTTCAGACCCGTGAAAGCTTATGCTTCGCAACATGTTGGTGCCATAGTTGGAACGTTTTAAAGCTAGTTGCAATGCGTTGCCTAAGAAGAATACATGGCATTAAGTGTCAAGACAAGATCACAAGCACTATGGCATTGGAAACACACTAAATATGTGTGATTTCTAAAATAGTCGTGACAAACATGCTCTAATGCGCATTTTGCAAGCGCATTTTGCTAGTCACACGTTTTAACGTTCATCTGGAAAGACGAAAAGGTGCATGGGCGACCGAGTCGCCAGTGGCTGGCCAGTAGACGACGTCGACATAAGTCAGAACAAAATTTATATATCCCTCGATCGCTTCAGCACTGCAAAATGCCCTTTGAAGACTACTTGTGGCGAGCAATGCCCAGCCATTTTAAATGGCGCAAAAACGTGTCACATTTATATCCAAAAGATCCCTCTTTCGGAATGCTGGTTGAACGTGATGATTTGTTCCCCTCAAACAAGGCAAGGCAAGTCGAACCGTTGCTAACTGTTCATATCAGACCAATGACTTAGTAAAGCAGTTCGAATGAACAACAATCGTACATCTACTCGGTGCCCCGTATGGCAGGTAGCTATCTTATGTCCCGTGATCTGCCAATGTCTTCAAGTTTATGGATTGTTTTAGAGGATGTGGGAGGTGGGTAGGGTTACACTGGTAACATCTCTAACAATCCTTCTTTCTTATCCTGTTTGGGATACACAGTTAAAGAGATACAGTAAACACTAGATGCCTACTACTTAGTCAGTGGACTGACACACAAATTCAGTGTTTTAATTGAAGGCTTTTGGATTACATACGTTGTAATGTTATCTATTGTAACAAAGATGCAAACAAGTTTCCATAGCCAATAAATACATTTTATCGCGTACATTCTTCCTATGACTCGAATGCCACTGGTTTGAATCCGCATCTGAGAAAATTGTTTTCAATCAAACTAGTGTATATTTAAGTCCTGAGAAGAAAAACATGTTTCTCAGAAGTTAGCAATATGGCACGTTTGGTTTCGATCGGTCTAGCATCTTTAGCTAGATGCGGGAAAAATTACCACACAAAAAAAAAACAATTTTTTTTTTTTTTCACTTTGCTAATACTTACTCTTAATGGAGCAGCCACACTAATGCATTTCTCCAGAGTAATCAAAGCTGTGATACAACTGCTGACTCTGGTGAAGGCAAAATGTGGCATCGCCGATACCAGGTACGAAACCTCTATACTTGCAAATGGTACATCAGCGTCCATAAGAGCTGGTGTTAACAAGATACACGTGAACACCATAGTTATGAGGCTGCATAAATCAGCGACTGATAAACCTAGAGAGGGGAAAACTTTAAATTTTATGATAGCTGTACTGGGTTAGTGAGTATTGAAAATCACATCAACAATTCAAGTTATTCATTCATTCATTCAGTAGCATGTCCCTTGCGGAACCTCGCTGCCATAACAACCCTCCGGAAAACCTTCCTATCATGAGCAAGATGTCCTGCGTCTGATACACCCATCTGGAGATCATCTGCCACATCCTGCACCCATCTTCTCCTTGGCCTTCCTCTTCCTCTCTTCCCAGGCATATACCCCTCCATTATTGTTCTCTCTAGACCTCCATGACGTTTCAAGTGACCAAAATATTTCAATTTTCTTTGTTTTATTGTCTTTACTAGCCAACCCTCTTCAATATTCAGCTCTTGAAGTATGGATGCATTTGTTCTTTTCTTTACCCAAGATATTCTTAGAACCTGTCTGTAACATTTATATTCAAATGCATTTATGCGCTGTTCCGCTTGTTTAGTAAGTGTCCAGGTCTCACAGGCGTATGTTGCAATGGGAAAGATGCATGCTCTTAAAAATCTGACCTTTGTAATTCTATCTGTACAATTCCATAATTTATTCAGTTGTTTTAGTCTTTGAAGAGCAATTGATAGTCGCCGTTTAATTTCTTTCATTGTGTCACCATTGTTGGTAACCAGTGACCCAAGATATTCGAAATTTTCCACCACTTCCAATCTTTCCTCATTAACATATATTTCTTTCTCCATGGCAGTTTTGTTTGTATGCATTATCTTTGTTTTTGCTGTGTTAAGAAATAAGTTATGATTTTCACTATTTCTTTGGAGTGAGGTTAATAAGTTTTCTAAACCATTTTGTGATGTTGATAGTAATACTGTATCATCAGCATAACGAATTTCTGGTATTTCATGACCACCGATGTTTAGGGCATCATATTGTTCCTTGTTTATATCATCTCTTACATTTCTCATTATATTTTCGGCGTACAGGTTGAACAAATACGGTGACAGCACACATCCCTGACGGACTCCTTGCTTGATGCCAAACCAGTCTGATGTCTCTCCATCTATTCTGACTGCTGCTTGTTATTCAAGTTATTGGTTTATGTAAATGCAGTGACAGGAAACTCATTTTGCGTAACGTACACATGGTAGTTTCTGTTGCTTTACTTCGCTTTGTTACTTCAATGTACATCTATCTATCTAGCCTGAGAATGCAGGTAGAAGCCGTAACTGCAGCTCTCCGATGGCTAGAGAACAAGATACATACATATGTCGTAATTGTCAAAGACTCTGAGCGCAGGCTGAAAACAGTGATGCTTCGAGTAGAGTGAAAAGCTACATTATGAAGGTCACCGGTAGTGAGCATACTTTGGATCTTTTCTCCGGGCAATGACGGTGTTAATTGTGTAATGAACAGGCAGACAGATTGACTGGCTCTGCACCACTAGGTGGCGAATTGATACATGGCAAGGCAGATGTGTTCAAGGTCCTTTGGGGCCAATCAACGGAATCAGTTGAGAAATAAAATTATTATGTCTTGGAGAGAATGAGGCACATGAATGTAACCAAAGGGTCTGGCTGGCTAACTGCACTCAGAGGAAAGGCAAGACAAAATTGTGACCTGTACTATAGCACTCGGGACACCTCATAAGCGCTCCGTCCCAATCTTCAGCAGCAAACAAAGATTTTCAATTCTGATAGCACAAGTAACTGTCTGATTGAATATTCGTTTCGCCCTTCCCTTGAGTTCTGCAAGTATTGATCCACTAATTACGAGCTGATTTGTAGGAGTATGGTTTTAGGTATATGATTCGCTGACAGTGGCTCCAATTATTTAAAAAAAAAAAAATTTACAAAAAAAAAAAACACACACACAAAACCTATATGAATTAATCTTACCCAGCAGAGTTATGTTGATTGCGTCTTTGAAACCTTGCTTAATAAAACAGACGATATTGATACTGTTTGTGACAATGCCAAAGAAGTTTATAAACTGGCATATCCCAGTTAGCAGGACATACGTGGATATAAGTACTGCTATATTGTCTATGTTAAAAGCTGAAGATTCCGCTTGGATCGAAATGTTACCTAAATGATTCATTGCTCGATCTGAAATTCATTATTTTAATGCGCGCTTTGTAAATGGTTATATATGTATTAACAGATCTGTGCATTTATATTGCGTTTTACTGTAAGGGACATTCACATTTTTTTTATTAACCTGAGAATGAAATCCAATACTAATTTTGGATGCTTGAAGAATTAAGCCATTAAAGACGCATTGCTATGTTGTGTGGAAACTGTCGTCAAGCCTAAAAGTTGCTTGCATCAATCGATAAGAGACAGAATTCGAGCATGTGCGAGGTAGATAGATTAGAGCCTGACGCTTTTCTGCAATTAAATGCATGGAGCTGAGATGGTATGATTTAATCATTAAATTCAATGTAGCGGACTGCTAAAAATTTTAATAGTAGCCTATATATAAGATATATGCCAACAGGCAATGTGATATTAACACAAGCTAACAACTAAAACGATGGGCATTGTATATATTGTCTTTTAAACGGGTCATACCTAAATTCAAAACTTTTTAACACACTAACTGTTTGCAGACATATTCAAAGCAAGGAATCAGCATGCTTACAGTAATTTCAGGACATTGAATTAGGGGAACTTTTCAAAACATCTGATTGCAGGCGCCTTTCACTCTAGAGCAGTCATCGCCAGCAATGACCTCCCGTGAGTGTTTAGAGGACACGCCTATATGTTTCCACAATAAACAGCACAGATCGCTGCACATATGACATTGTGTCCCAACAATCTGCACGCGTCTTTCAGTTACTGTAACGTCTTTAAAAAAAAAAAAAAAAACAGCACTTGTGCAACTGCAATTTATTAAATCACAAGGATAGTATTGGTCAGTACAGGAGTTTTGGAGATGTATGCCTATTTATAAGGGCATGTGCTTTGAAACACATCATGAGTCTTAATCCCGATTCACAGTACAAACAGTAGTGCGCAGAAAGAGGTAGAACCGAATTCAATTACTTGCTTTCCCCTCAATATTAATCACTGCTGTCTTGGAAAATAGCATATGCTGATTCCCACATCTGGGCCTATGTGAGACTCTCGTACCATTGTCAGAAAACCACAAAAAATGTCGTTTCTCAACTGCCAGATGGGGATAAATAAATCTGGTACGCAACAAATTTGAAGTGCCATCACCGACGTCTAAACCAGAGTGCCCCTCATGTCGCGCAAATAGTACATGGTTTATTTTTGTACTGAGCAGTAAGCACACGGTTTGTGAATGAATGAATGAATGAATTATTCGTGAATTAATATTACTGCACTTCGGACATTTCCACACGTGTGTCAGTGGTCAACCAACAGTGGATATGCTAAAAGTATCACTTGTAACCTGATAAGAAATTCCACAAATGTTACCTCTTGGGTGTTAAAAAAAATTCTAGGACTTCCATTTCCCTCTCCCTCCTTTTCCACCCTCTTTCTCCTTTCCACCTCAATCTCCCCTCTGGTTGTTAGCCTCTTACTATGGATTCTTTGTATATTCTGTGCATATTCTGTCGTACAGAAATTGTGATCCAAAAGTGCCTTCAACATGTCTGCTTTATCATGAAGAAGCCCACTCCCCAGATAAGCGTCAGGGGCTAATCTATCTACCTCGCACATGCTCGAATTCTTGCTCTTATCGATTAATGCAAGCAACTTTTAGGCATGGCGTCAGTTTCCATTTTTAGAAGCATGCGCTGTGTGTCGGTTATAGTAACAACGTGTTGGGCTATGCTACTTTCAAGCCACTGGAAAGCTCTTGTAACTGCCTCCACCATTATTCACATGAAAAAATGTAGTACGTGAAGTTTCTGCTTTCAAACAGTGCTCACTCACCTTTACAGTAATACCCTATCCACCTTTCTCACCTCTCACACTGACTGACTGTTGTTTTACTCCAGCAGGACATCACACCAAGCGATATGTACCCACTGACACAAAGTGTCACCATTCAGATGATGATCACAAGAAGACAGGTCCCATAAACTCCGCTCCACCCGTAGGTTGGTTTATATAAATGATTTAACCTAGGCATACGTTTTCATTGGTCAGCTCTTGTAAACCTTTTTCATGAGCTTAATATTCCCGGCACCATGGGTCCACTGTAGCTATCACTTTATGCAAGCTCTATTTTGTCACTCTGAAAGTACTGGAGAGTTTTTGGAAATGCCATTCTGGTCTCAAGACTCAATGAAGGGAAAACCCCAACTGCACCTCAACGCGGTAGAGGATGGTAAACATGCTGAGGTGTGGCCAACGCAGCTATGGGAACCGAGTATCCGCCGGGATAAGTGGACACCTCTGGGGTGCCGTCTGCTGTTAGCAGGAGCGTCACAGAGCAGGGTACTCACTTGCCCTAGCAAAAGAATAGGTTGCTGAAGGCTGAGGACATGGTCTAAAGCCATGTGAATGTGGAAAGCAACGGGAAACTACCCCATTACTATCCCAAGAAACTCATAGATATAATTGACCCCTTGAGTGTGAAAGTGCATGATGCGGGAGAACTGACGAGAGACCGAGTTTCTTTCAGGCAGACTGTGATGAGAGCGACGTTCTGCAAAGCACCTGCTACATGATGATGATGATGATGATTTTGTCACTAGAACAAAGATTTCTTATAGTGACTTCTGTGTCCAATGTCACTCTAACTATTTCGGGCAAAAAATATATATGATGTATGTTTATGCCTTCTGTGAATTTTATACAAAATGTAATATGTTCTCGTATTTTTTTTTAATTGACAAAGAAAATACTGATAAAAGCTAGCTTCCTCAGGATTTAGCTTCTTTGTAAGTTATATACTCAGGATTTTTCCTACTTAATACTTATATTTATATATGTGATCATTTTCTACAAGTCAATTTGGTACTCGATGAATTAGGGCACACTTTCTCTTGTGCTAACTTCTGTCTTTCCTATACGAACGGCAGTAAAAGTATGGGCTACATTCA